TATATATATATATATATCTATATATTCTTGAAAATATGCACATGTACAACTACATATACATATATATATGTATATATATAAACATATATATAAAGTATATATATATAAAGTAGTTGTACATATGCATATTTTCAAGAATATAAAAGTCCATAAAAGTCTATTTATTAGTTAGTGAGTCTGCAATTATAACCAATAATGACGATATTATTGAATTATTGACCAAACCAAAGGTTTTCAAAGTATAAAATTAACAAAAAGAAAAAAAAGTATTAGGAACCTAGGTATTCCAGCCTGGAACCAGGGAGCTTTGCGCAGCTCCGCTTCTTCACTGCGATTATTCAAACTGTCCGTCCTTTCAGGAAGAGGCGGTGGAGTTGGTGTCGAGCCGTGTGTGCTTCCATCGGCAGGCACCGAGCTGCTCGACGTACTAATTTGAGATCTTCTCTTCGATTTGAATTCCGTTTCCGTGCCAGAGCTCGGTGAGTTGTGTCCTATCCTGTAAATCATAATAGTTAAAACACACGGTTCGTTCGTTCTTCACGGAGAATCACACACACGCACACGGTTCGTTTCTCTCATTTTCACGAAAGTAGGAGATCCTCCTTCGAAATGAAGAGGAGAGTTCTTTCTCGGCGAGGTTACCTGTTGTTCTCAATGTTGAAGTTCTTCGCGGTAATGGACGCGTTGATGGTGTTATCCAGGCTCTCGGACGGGGGTATCTTGTTGTAGGCCGGCCTCGTGCCCTCCGAGTCGATGATCGCCTCGTTTATATAACCCCCGGAATGCGGCCTGTTCGATGGGCTGGTCGGTGTGCTGCTACCACTGACGAGGGGGCAGCTGTCATCCTCACCGTTCAGTCCAAGAACGTCACGTCCACCTGTCAAACCCATCGCCAGCCGCTTTATCAGAGGTGGCTTGTCCGTTAGTCTCTTGTACGAGTTCAGCTCCGTTGGTGAGTTGCTCTCATCGCTGCTTGGCGTGCTCTGCTGAGAGATACTCTTTGGCTCATCCTCGTTCGTAATCGGGCCGAGAACGTTCGTGAAGTTGTGGCTCGGCCGTAGACCCGGGATCGAGTTCGGTGTCTAGTTTGACGGCAAAGAAGCAAGAAGATTAACCTTTGCTTTTCCAGTTGTAGAGCACGCAGAAATTAAGTGGAACCATTATTTTTCTAAAACGAGACACGCAAAATCTTCGAAGCAAACAATCATCGTGGTGTTCCGTGCAGAGTTAGAAATTTTTCAGTTTTTGTGAATGAAGTGATTGTTTTTTTTTTTTTTTTTAGTGTTTTCACGCTCAGCGATTCATTCAGGTAAGTAATATTTGTATTCTATAGTCTTTATATAAATATTTAACGTTTAGTGAATTAATGCATTTGAGGCAAAATATGATATTCTGCTATGGAGCAGAAATGCATGAATCACGGATGGGCACATGTGATGTGTACAAGTGGCGGAGATGAATATTCCATTCGCGATTCTTGTTCTATTAATTAATTATACGTTAAAATAGTTCGAGAATAATTTTTATAAATACGATAAATATTCCTTAAATTAACATTGAGAATTTTCCTCAAAGACAGACCAAGTAGACTAACTTTATATATTTGTTTCTACTATTTTCTCACTAATAAAAATAAAAGTTTTATAACTGCATTGCAGGTTACGTTTCTCGTATTTTCCCGCGAGTTTTCAAACAATTCTTTTTTCAAAAAGCTCGGCCATTTTTCTTATTGCACGAGGTCCAATCAGAGATTTAGCGCGGATTTTCATTCTTTTCTTTCTTTCCTTCTTCTTATTACGAATACACCCGAAGAGATTTGAGACTTTCGCTAATCGCACGATTCAAGAGCTTGCTGTTTCAGCCGCGTGAATACTACGCGATATGTAAGTAGAATATTTGACCATCGTGGGAGTGCGCGTTTCTATTTAAGTCACAGAGTGCGCGGCGGAGAGAGAATCGGCGGCGAATAAACGGGCGTGAAATAACGTCGTACGTTCGTTGAAAAAGCCATTGAGCCGAAGCAGATATGGATGTAATGGAATAGACGAGGGAAAGAGAGGAATGCGAGTGAGCCTCACCTTCACGCTAGCGAGTCGCAGCGTGGGCGAGCCGGCGCTGCCTAGCTGCACGTTCATGTCCGCCGCAGACGAGCCGCTTCCACTTCTGGACGTGGGCGACGTCCGACTTTTCAGCCACGAATTCGAAGACGAATTCCTGCAAACACCTCCTCCTCCTCCCGCGCTGGCTATCGAGCTGTCGCCAGTTAGCGATTTGTTCTACGACAGAATGGAAGCCGATCGTTCACATTACCAACCAACTCTTCCAGTCGGCGTTTTCAACTCCTCGTTGACAACAAATATCTTTCACGCTACTTTTTTATGGCACATGTAGGTGAAACTCTGCGCGGGTAATTCGAGCTTCGAAAATGACAATTTAACGAATTATTCAGTCGATTGATCACTTAAACTTGCAAATATATCATACGTTCTGTGCCGTATGTATCACCGGTGGTACACGTTAAACTTGATCTTCAGGCCACGTGTACCACCGGTGGTACACGATGTGACAGCTCTCTAAACGAGAGAACTACTTATCGATTGATGATGTAATGAAAGATTGTGTGACAAGAGAACTACTTATCGATTGATGATGTGAACGAAAGATTGTGTGATAATATATCAACATTTTAGTCAAAATATCAAATGGCCTGAACGACAACAAAAGGCAAAAATGGCTTCCAAAATATCAAATGGCCTGAACGACAACAAAAGGCAAAAATGGCTTGGCACGGAACTTCTTGATTTCGGCGTAACTATCTTTTCATTTCCTACATTAATATCAAATGGCCTGAACGACAACAAAAGGCAAAAATCGCTTGGCACGGAACGTGATAGGGCCAAAAGTTTCTTCCCACCTATTTTTTTTTTCTTCTTTTTAATGAAACATCGAAAAAACTAATTTCACTGAATTCAAGCTCAAACGTGACTTTATCATTATAATTGGCCGTACAGAGCGTTCGAAACTAAAAAGAATTTTATTTTATAGCACATGTAGGTGAAACTCTGCGCGGATAATTCAAGCTTCGAAAATGACAATTTAACGAACTATTCAGTCGATTGATCACTTA